CCCATCTCTATATCTTTCCATCAATCTTCGTAAGAGATAGATTGCCTCCATGGTTGAGCGCCCTGGCATGAACCCGAATTGGTTGTCCGAAACCCGTGTCTCTTGCCTCAATCTATGCTCAATGACTCTCTCCCAGAGCTTCATTGTATGACTCATTAGCTTAATACCCCTATAGTTCATGCAATTTTGTACGTCGCCCTTGTTCTTGTAGATAGGCACCAAAGTGCTCATTCGCCACTCATTTGGCATCTTCTTCGTTTTCAAAATCCTATTGAAAAGGTCAGTGAGCCATGTTATACCTGTCTCTCCCAAAAGTTTATTTTTCAATTTACTAAAACTAAATGGGGTTAAGTTGAAGCTCAATGAATATTTTAGGGACAATAGACCCGCAACCCTCACTTTGTAGCTTTTTCGTTAGTCGGAATGGTGGTAGTTATAAATAGGCCAACGCCAAATTTCTTTTCAATATTATTGCAGAACATGTAAATATTTTTGTTCTTTTTTTTTTTCAAAAAATATTTTTATTCAAATATGATAAAAAGCACTATCGTTTGGAAAAGAAAAGTCTTAGTTGAATAAATGAGGAGTATAAACATCAAACATCCAAATTGCAATTGGCATCCACAAACGGTAGTTAAGCTCCACTCCAGTCGTTGCCCAAAATCCAGCATAACAAAAAAAAAACTTCCTCTCACTTCCCTTTCAGTTTCTCTCTTCTCACTCTCTCTCTCTTCATTGTCCGCCATTGTTGCTCTCTTCCCCACACTCCTCTCGATCGCTTGGCTTCACTTTTCTCCTTCCTCTCATTTTTCTTTACTTCCAAGCTTTCTCTCTCTTTCTCTCATGCAGTGTTCCGTGGTGCCCGAGACAGACCCGAACCCGACCCGGTTCTAATCCCGCCCCCCCCCCCCCACTTCCCAAATGCATCGCGCCGCCGCCGCCGCAAACCCACTCCAAACCCTCCTCGACCTCATCAACTCCACCCTCTCCCTCCTCCTCCACTCCTCCCTCACCGTCCGCTCCTTCGTCGGCCGCTGGACCGCCCTCCACTCCAAGCTCGCATCCCTCCACTCCTCCGTCGCTGACATCTCCGACTCCCCCCACTGGGCCCAGAACCCCCTCCTCCACACCCTCCTACCTCAACTCCTCTCCACTCTCCAGCGCCTCACTGCCCTCGCCGACCAATGTACCGACGCCGAGTTCGCCGGCGGGAAGCTCCTGATGCAGAGCGACCTCGATATGGCTTCGTCTTCCCTCTCCAATCAGCTTCGCGACCTCGACTTGCTTCTCAGATCTGGAGTCCTCCACCAGTCAAACGCCATCGTTTTGTCCCACCCGGCTCCCGGGTCGGATAAAGAGGATTTGAGCTTCTTTATCAGAGACCTCTTCACCCGGCTGCAAATCGGCGGCGTCGAGTTCAAGAAAAAGGCTCTTGAGTCGCTCCTTCAGCTCCTCAACGGCGACAACAAGTCGTCCGGCCTCGTCGTCAGAGAAGGTAATGTCGCATATTTGATTCATTTGCTCGATTTCCACCACCAGCCTTCCGTCCGCGAGCAGGCTATCTTCGCCGTCTGTCTCCTGGCCACCGCGGATGACGATTCGTCGCGCAAGGCAGTGTTCGAAGAAGGGGGTCTGGGTCCTCTGCTGAGAATACTCGAATCCGGGTCGACCCATTTGAAAGAGAAGGCTGCGATGGCGGTAGAGGCTCTCACCGCCGACCCAGAAAACGCCTGGGCCGTTTCCGCCTACGGTGGCGTCTCAGTCCTCATCGAAGCCTGCCGATCTGGGTCTCCGGCGACCCAGACCCATGCTGCCGGAGCCATTAGAAATGTGGCCAATGTGGAAGAAATCAAAACTGCTCTGGGAGAAGAAGGAGCCGTCCCTGTACTAATCCAGTTACTGCTCTCCGGCACCATCACCGCCCAAGAAAAATCAGCCAATTGCATAGCCATTTTAGCCTCCTCCGACGAGTATTTCCGAGCTCTGATCATTCAAGAACGTGGGTTGCAGAGATTAATGCATTTGATTCAAGATTTACCGAATTCGGACACATTGGAACACGTCCTCCGAGCCATCACATGGCTTTCAGCTTCAGATTCTTGCTCTAAAATCCTTTCTTCTTCGACGATTTTCCTGATTCAGCTCGGCGAGTTCATAAAGCAGGGGAACACAACGCTACAGCAAATCTCAGCTTCCTTACTCGCTCACTTATTGGTTAATGTGAGCGATGGGAATAAGCGAGCGTTGGGCTGCTGTATGGGGTCTTTGGTGAAGCTCATGGAGTCGCCAAAACCGGTGGGTCTACAAGAATCGGCGGCCCAATCGCTGGTTTCGCTGCTGACGGTCCGGTCGAACCGGAAGGAGCTGGTGAGGGACGAGAAGAGCGTGATGAGGCTGGTCCAGATGCTGAACGCCAAGAGTCACGAGATGGTGGCCAGCAAGTTTCCGGTGGCGGTGGTCGCGGCGGTTCTCAGCGGAGGGAGCGATGGTTGCCGGAAAAGGCTGGTGGCCGCCGGAGCTCACCCGCATTTGCAGAGACTGGCGGAAATGGAGGTCGCCGGAGCTAAGAAAGCGCTGCAGAGACTCGCCGGCAGTAGGCTGAAGACCATCTTCTCCCGGACTTGGAGGGAATAGTAATTAACCGGGAGGAAAAAAAAATCCCCGCCAAACGAAAGGTCAGTTTTGGAATTTTAGTTTTTCCTTAGGGTGTTTGACTTGCCGGCTTTACGACTTTGACCCTGACGTGTCACTGTTTTATCCAATTCGCGTGTGCCATGTTCACACGGCAACCTGGATTTCTCTTGAAAGATACCACCTTAATATTCTCTAGACTATCAAATGACAATTCTACCCTTCACCCTAAAATTGCGAAGGATTGTGAAAAAGTGTGGTGGCCCACGGAGCCTAGTGGGCCCAGTAGTAATTTTACTGCTGAGGTGTTGAGTCACAAGAGTCGTATATTTTCAATCCATCTAGAAGGTCCAATTTTCACATTTACAGCGAATAAATTTTTTAACTGCTTAACTCGTGAGATATTTGCGGTGCGCTTTTAGTGACAGATGCCCTTTTGGCTGACAAATCAAATTTTGAATTTTGTTTGTTGGTAAAATGCAGAGGAGGAAGGAGGAGGGAGAAGGATTTTCTAACCGTCCAGGGAATGTGAAAGCTACGTGGCTTGGACAAAGCAACAAATACACACACAGATCTTATACCCAACCTTTTTTTTACTTATTATATTTATTTATTTATCTGTCACTAAATCAAGCACCCTAATTAAGTATGTTATGTATTAATTAATTAAAATATCCTAGTACTATATTGTATTGGTAAAGAAAGAAGAAAAAGCATGGATGCGGTTTTTAGGGAGTATCCTCGTTTTGCTGTTCATTTTTTTGTAATTTAATGTTATTACTTGATTCACTCGGTGAAAAAGCTGTAAGAGGGGTTCATTTCATTATGATGTTTCCTTTTTTTTTTTGTTGGGTTGTGTTTTTTAATTAACACCCACTGGTTTGAGAATGTACATCCTTGGATTTGTTGTATCCTTAACATGGAATGTCACGGTGATAATGTACTAATTTACGTTGCTCTCGTTCTAGAGAGAAACTTCTGCTATATTTGTAATGGACATGAATTTAACATGGGTCTTGAGTGTTACTTAAGAAAGAGTGCCAACTCTTTTTGTGTGTTTTCTTTGTGGTGAATGGTGATGTTATCTGGGGATTTTCTATGATGCTCTAGTATCAGATATTTCCGATTTTTTATCATTAGATTACTCCGACTTTCGAAGAGACTCTAAGAAAAGACTTAGAGTACTTGAATCTAACGAAAGACGTGACACAGAACCGAGCACAATAACGTTCTAGGATTCATACAGTCGATCCCACTTAGTGGGAAAAGGCTTTGTTGTTGTTGTTGTTGTACTATGATGACGATGGTGATGATGGATGTGGATATGGAAGTGTAGAGCCAAAAGCAAAAAGGCCAAAGCTTTTAGGAGAAGTTAGATTTTTCATTTTGCTTCTTGTATTGTATCTGTGTCTTTGTTTTTGAGCAGGTAATGGGATGGGGATGTGGAGGAATCAATGACAATGGACAATGATGGTAAGACTGATGCATATGGCGGGATGTGTGGTCCATTTTCTCAATTTCACATGCTGTTGCTTGCCCTTGCCTCCCCACCAATCACACCATTCACCTCTCTCTCTCTCTCTCTCTCTCAATTGCATTTGCATCTGCATCTGATGCTCCAGAAGAAAAGTTTGTGACTTTTTTAATTTTATTTTTTTCTCTGTGGGGGAAGTGGGGAAACCGGGAGAGGTCAGGTTTTCCCGTGAATCCTGCTCTCTCTGTTTAAAGCAACTGCACAAAACTTAGCTGTAAAGCCTTTACGCCTCTCTCCTTCTGTCATTCTGTTGTGTGGTCTTTTTGTTTAGCTTTGCCTATTTTCGTGTATTTTCGTATGTTAATTTAAAGCAATAATAAATTAATGCTCTTAACCAATTCAATTACGTGTTTTAGTACTTTTCCAGTCTCTTGGGAGATAAAATTCTGGGTCAAGCGACTTGATCACCATCTGGCCTATCCGACCGCTTCCCGCTTGGTATCATGAAGCGTATCGATCCGTTATCAACCATCAATATGTCGTTCACATTATGGTACTACCCAGACTAAATTACATATTTGTGAATATGCTTGTCAATGGATAGTTAGGTGGAAAATATCTGACAACGACGTAGCATCATCTCAATGGCTTGTTGGACCAGCCAGCTGCTTAGGCGGTCTAACCGGTCTTAACCATTTCAAACAGGCAAGCTACTAGGTTTGCTTAAGTGTCAAGACCAAGATTCATGGGTCGCTTTGTTTCTTTTATGGGCTACGAGCATTCAAAACACTAGGTCCCTATTTGTCGGGCTTCTTGGAGGTGCTTCTGAAGCCTATGCTATAAACTCTCAATTGCCATTCAACTCTGCCAAAGATAATGGATTCAAGATTTTTAATTACAAGATAATTAAATTTGATTTAAATTAATCTCAAGACATGTGTTTAGCAATAATCTTGTTTTGCTGTTCCAACCATAGTCTCTGTTGATGCAACAGACTTTCATGATTCATCAATCCGTTACATATAGGTTCACTACTACTTCTAACGTTTGAGAACGTTGCAAATGGGTCATTTTCTGTAGTACCCCACCCGTTTTCACTTCGCGCACGGAAAGTTGGTGCAGCCAGAAACTCATTAGCATCGTTTGTACAAAATGTAGGTGCCACAATTGTGTCATTACGATTTTCAGCACGAAATGTAGGTGTCACAGTAATGTCATTACGATTTTCAGCACGAAATGTTGGTGCTACACTCTTGTTATAATGAGTCACTGCACAAAATGTTGGTGCATATGTGCCCTCATTTGTATCCCGTGCCCAAAATATTGGTGTTGCCGCTGTTTTCTCTTCTGGACTCTGAGCACAAACCGGCGGTGCTGTTTTTGTGTCATTTATACTCCGCTTGCTAGCAGGGGCCACTGCCAACTCTACGGAACTCTGAGCACAAAATGTTGGCGCTGTTGTGGACTCATTCATGCTCCACGCGCCAAATGTTGGTGCCATTGTGCTTTCGTTGGTGTGCTGTGACCACAATGTTGGTGAAATTGTGCTCCCTTCTGGACTTGGCTCGCCAAATGTTGGTGTCATTGTGCTTTTACTGGTGTGCTGTGACCACAATGTTGGTGAAATTGTGCTCCCTTTTGGACTTGGCGCGCCAAATGGCGGTGCCATTGTGGTATTATTTGTAGTATGCGCGTGCAATGTCGATACCGTCGTTGTATTATTTGTATTTTGCGTGCGAAACGTTGGCGCTATTGTGCCACCATTTGAATTCTGCATGCAAAATGTTGGTGCCGGTGTTTGAGATGTAGTAGGGAAAGAAAAGAAATCGTCTCCGAAATTTCCAAAGCCATTGCTGTTGGCGGTATTCGAACTTGAAGAGGTTGCGAAGCTCTCGATTGGTATTGTGTCTTGAAGAAACGGATTGTATTGGTGTTGGGGCACTGAAGATTGCTGAAATAAACTGTCAAAGTTTGATGAATCAAACAGATTATTAGCAGAAGCTGGTGGCGGCGATGATGTTTGCAATGGCGGTTGATTACTTGCAGACTGGAACAGAACAAGCTCCCATCCTTGTTCCGAACCCTCTTGATTTCCGACTCCGAATATTTCTTCTACTATTTTTTCTTGTTTCTTTGTTTGATCCGGTTGCGGCGACCAGTCGTCAAAAGAAAAAAGACCAAACTCAAAACTCGCTGGCTGAGGTCGATCAACCTCAGCCGTCAAGGATTGGGTGGATCCATTCCTATTTGCCCGTCCGATGGATTCATTCTCCGGGGTCTTATTCGGCTGTTCCTCGGAGTTATAAAACTCTTGCTCCGCCGACCAAGACGGGCTTACATTCCCGTTTTGGTAAGCAACACTCATCAAATCCTCCAACGAAGTACAAGCCGAACCAAAAGCAGAACCTCTCTCCGACGCCTCGAATTGCTCAGAAGAAGTGAATTCATTCCGTTCAAAGCTCAACCCTTTATCCCTACCCTCCTCCGCTGCCATTTGATCCGAACCAATCTGCAAATGACTAGGCGGCGACCGACCCGGAAACGAAGCCTGGTCCTTCAGAAACTCCTGTAGCGTCTCCAGAAGCTCCTCCGAAATTTTCTGCACGCTCGGATATTCCGAGGTCCGCCCGACCCCCAAGCTCTTACAGAGTGCGTAGAACGACGCGAGCTCCTCAAATTGCTTCGAGGCTTTCACGCAGGCGTGAAAGGCGTTCACGCACGACTGGTATTGCAGATGGAAGAAGCTGTCTAGAAGCAGAGCTAAGCCGTCGGATATGTCCCGGTACAGATCATACGTCTCTTGAACGATCGCGTAGAGCGAGATCAACACCAACCGATTCGTTTTGGCAGCCCCCGTTGGCGTCGTGGCGATCGCTCTGTCGAGCAGTTTCTGCCAGTAGTGGATTCGATCAAGCAGCACCGCCGGCTTCATGTTGCGGACGACAGGTTCGTTCGACTGGCGGCTCCTCCGGTTGTTATTGAATTCCTGGTCGCGCTGGTAGGTGAACCGCCGCTGGAGCTTCCCGGTGAGGAAGCAGTCCAGCCGCTCGTCGAGGTAGAGAGCGAAGGTGCGGACGAAGGCGGTGTAGTCCCACGGGCAAGAGTTGGAGTCGTCGCGGAAGTTGGAGAGGTTGAGGATTTTGGCGCCGCGCTTCATGGCGTGGAGGACTTCGATTGGAAAATAGGGGTCGCCGTCCTGGAAGATGCGGAGGACGAGCATGAGGGATTTGAGCGCGACGATCCAGTTGCGGGTTTTGCCGATGCGCTTGGCGATGGCTTGGGCGCAGGAGGATGCGTACGACTTGTTGGACGTAATGAGCGTGAGAATTTCTTGGATGTATTTGTCTTCGACGGGGACGACGTCGTGGGACGTGGCTTTGAGGACCGTGACTTCGAGGTTGGCCGAGTTGTTGTTGTAGACCTTGGCTAGGCTTATGCTCGTTTGGTCCTTCACTGCCCCAATTGCCTTCTTTAGCTTGCTTGGCATCTTTTTGCTAACGATTTTGATGAGTCAACTACGATAGAGATTACGATGCGATATTCTATATTGCTCTAATCAGGGTTGAAACTAGGCGTAAGGAGGCAAACACGCCACCTTAGCCAAGCTTCTTGGACAATTGTTGACGATGATGAATTTAATTATAATAGAAATTTTCTTCTGACAACACAATAATCTAAACTACTCTAGTTTATGAGCAGAAAAATTGAGTTCCGTGCAAGAAGGCATGCACAATATCCTGACCGAGCCTAACTCATGTCCGATGATTATGAGATTGAAATAACAACATTGGGTCGTGAGTTGAGGTGTTTTGCGATGCCTTGGTGTAGAATTGTTTCTTTTTTGTTGGATTTGGGATTGAAATCCGAATGAGCGGAACAAGTTTTTGGTTTTGATAGGAGGGTGGAGAAGGTTGGCAGAGTTTGGAAATAATTTGGGTGGTGGAGAAAAGGGAAATGCCTTTGTGGACGTGATCGAGATTCGCACTTGTTTGATTGACCAAGTCCTTTGCATGTTTGTGCGTTTGCATGTTTTCACTAATCAAATCTCAATTGAATTAACGAATTCGGTTGGGGTGTTGTATGTTGGAATGAGAATGAAATTTGGGTGCATAATTTTAACCCGTTGGGAATGGGAAGTAAAGGGATTCTAGTCCTTTGCTATCTTGAGAACAAACGTGGAGTCTAGTACCTTCCCATGACAAGAGTGGATTATGGTGGTCCATGGATTAGTTTTATGTCCCGATTTAGAAGCGTATGTGCTACTTTCTAGAATGTCCTTAACCTTAGCAGAAGGAAAGACCATCAACGGTAAGAACTTATACCCTATCTTTTAGCATTTCTCAACACGTGTAATGTTGGGCGATGCAAAGAAAAATGGTATTAAATGCGTAACAACTAAGTTTTTCAATGCCATTTGTCATTGTTTCGACTAGTACAACTCTAGCAAGCTAGAGTTGTAGTTAGTGAGTACTAGAGTGTAATAAGTTATTTGCCAAAGAAGTGATTAGGTAGTTACATTGGGTTGTTTTATTTTTGCATGCTGCTTTCTTTGAACGCTGGCAGCTACCATGTAACTTGTATTACAATGTTTTATAATGTTGAAATGGAAATTGACGTTAAACTGTCATGTGGTAGATGGTCTATAAAAAGTCTCACTTTGAGATATTCTCCTTTACCATTTCTCTTCTCTTTACAGGTGCATTGGTTACCAAAGAGATATTCTCCTTTTACCATTTCTCTTCTCTTTAGAGGTGCATTGGTTACCAAAGGCCCAAAAAGTTAGGCACAATTAAGTGGTGGACCTATAATTTGGGCTGACATCGTATAAACAATCCAACCAAAATTTTCACTTTAAATTTACAAATTGAAAACCATAATTTGTATGGAAAGAACTTGCTTGTAGAAGTGGATCTTGACCAGTTGGCCTATTTCATGCATACGTCAAATTTGTGAGACATCTGCAACAGGCCTGGCATACAAACCGGTTTGAATAAATCCGGATTTTCTTCGGATCCTCTTTGTGAGGATTTCGGAGATTAGTGTATTGTATCCGTTCATCATACATAGTGCGGTCAGAAATTATTTAAAATTTTTTTATTTAAAATTGAACATAAACAATATTTGACGAAAACTGAATGCACGATATATGATGAATAAACACGATTCACAAATCATCGAGATCATCACAAAGAGAATCCGAAGAGGATCTTGTTGGGGTTTGGATCAGCTTCAACCCCCAAACCAATGAGTGAAACTAAATCATGGATCAGTTTGGTTCGGGTTTAACTAAAACCACAAAGTGAAACTGTACCAAGGCAACCAGTGCATGCACTATTGGGCGATGTGGTACAACTAATTTTCTTTTACATTTTTAGAGTTAATTGGGTCGAAGTTTGTTAACATCCTTTTTATTTACCATTATTATTTATACATACAAATTAAATAAGGTTCAAGATCATGTAATGTTTGTTAATACAATCCAAGAATTGCAAAGAAATACAAATAGTTAATGACATGCATGCAAAAAGAAAAAATAAATAAATGGAGGGTTTGGTTCGCGGTTTAAAAGTAATAAAAGCTAGTCAAGATGTATAGCTGAGAAAATCGTAGTAGTTGGTGTCGAATTTATTGAGATGGACAATGGAAGATATGAAAAGGTGAAGCAATCTAATTAATGCATGCATGCTGCTACGGACTTGGATTGTCTGCCATCTTTATCCTATACATTTCTTATCCCTTCTTATTTATACGGTCACGGTTAGGCCACGTCAACATTTTATATTGATTTTTTTTATCGAAATAATAAGACAAAAAACAATGAGAATATAAAATGTTGACGTGGCTTAACCATGACTACAGAAATAGGAAGGGATGAGAAGGGTATGGGATGGGGGAGGGCATACAATCCAGGTCCTGCTGCTATATGCAGAGCAGTAGAGTCCCGACACCCTCAGAGCAACTCCAGTCCATGGAGATAGGCTGGTCCAAAGCCAAAAAAATAGGCTGACACCATCAAAATCCACTCTAACCGAGCCAAATAGGCTGGCACCCAGCCCAAGCTAGCTTGTAGGTCGGGCCAAAACGTGTTGAGCAATGTCCCAGCCTATGTGACATCATGCTAGCGTCAGCGAGGGCCACTTTTTTTTTTCTTTTTTTTTTGCTTCAGGCGTGTGGGCGAGCGTTCCCGACAAGAAAAAGGTTGCGGGGTCGACTGTTACAGGCGCAATAATCAGGAGTTGGGAGAAGCCACGGGGCGCGTCTTCAACTGTTGGATTTCCAACGGTAAAAAAAATTTGAAATTCAAAACCGACATCTAGTGACGTGGCGCGTTTTGGGCCGTCCGATTCCTAAATCAATGGTCCACGATTTTTGGCCAAAAAACATAAAAAAAAGAAAAGAAAAGCAATGGTCAGAATTATGATCGTTGGCCATGTGTCCAAATCTGGGCTGTTGGATTTCAATCTTTTTTAAATCCAATGGTCCATATTAATTAACTTAATAAAAATTTATTAAAAATTGTTTCAAAATATAGAAAAAATAAAACAAATTTTGTTTTTTCTATAAATACCCAACCATCATCTTCCATCTTACACCACATTTCAATATTTTCAACACTTTCAACCAAAGCTTTCATATACTTTTCTGTGCAAAAAATGAATAAGTGGAAGGTCATCGAAGATGTTACGTTGTGTGAATACTGGGTTCAAATTACTCATGACCCGATTAAAAGTAATAAGATGCAGTTGCAAGAACTGTGGAGTAGAATTACTGCAGCGCTTTACAATAAGCTTGGAAAAGACGCAAGAAGTAATCAAGGTCTTTAAGGTCGTTGGAAAGAACTCAACAACTCGCTTACTAGTTGGAAAAGCATCATCTCTCATGCTTCCTCTAATCTGAGTAGTGGGAGAAGTTTAGCTGATAAAGTGACAATATTTTTATTTATTTATTTTTATTCCACCCGCATCAATATTTTTAATTATTTATTTGTATTACACCCGCATTTTATAATATTGTCTTATCTTACATTTTATAGACACTTCAAGCACAAGCATGGTACAATGCGAAAAAAACACAACAAATCATTCAGCAGATGGGAATGTTGGAATGTTGTCAAAGATTGTCCCAAATACAAACTTGTGTCAACCAGTCCAGAAGTTGTCATGCACGGCATCCTTCTACACAGTTCACCAAAAGCAGACCCTACTAAACAGGAAGGCGATACATTTAAAGAGCAGGAAGGGACGCCTGAAGTAGTGCCGGAGCTGACTCGTCGGTCCCTAAGGCCTAAAGGTAAAAATGTGGTAAAGAAAAAAGGAAGTTCTTCCAAGAATGAATACACAAAATATATGGACAAACTTGTTCGCCAAGGTGAACTGAGCATGGCGCGGGAAGCGGCTAGAGATAAGGCAAAAGCTGCAATTATGCAAACAATCTTAGCAGCTATTGAGAGACGTGCTAGGGCTAATAAAAGACAAAGAGAAATACTTAATCGAGAAATGGAGATGCTTAGAGAAGAAATGATGGCTCAAGCAGATCGTTACTCTATGAACAAGCCTCTAGAAGGAATGTCTCAAAATTCTAAATTTATTTGGACATCAGAAAAAAATGACGTGGTGCGAATGAGGCGTGCAAGAAACAAGGGAACAAGTGGAAGGGGTTCTAGCTACACAAATCTTAGAAACCAAGAACCTAGCAATGAAGATCCTAGCACAACATATCCTAGCTCCTCAAACTTTTTATATAATTTCTAATTTATTTTTGTACTTTATGTAATTTCGTTTTTATTTTTAGTACTTTATGTAATATCTTATTTATTTGTAGTACCTTATGTAATTTCGTATTTATTTTTAGTACCTTATGTAATATCTTATTTCTTTCTGGTACTTTATGTAATTTTGTATTTATTTTTAGTTCTTTATGTAATTTCTTATTTATTTTTAGTACTTTATTTAAACACAACAAGTAAAATTATATAAACACATCAAATAAAATTACATAAACACACCAAATGAAATTGCATAAACACACCAAATAAACTTACATAAACACACCAAATAAAATTACATAAACACACCAAATAAAATTACATAAACTCACCAAATAAAATTACATAAACTCACCAAATAAACTTTAAAAAACAAACCAAATAAAATTACATAAACTCACCAAATAAAACTTACATAAACACACCAAATAAACTAAGAACTTTATTCTTCGCCCACAAGCTCCTTTAAGTTTCTTTACCTTGTTTCAATCCCCACTGGTGCTCAATCAACTCACTTTGATGGCTTAAGTGCATGTATGGTCGTTGCATTGCAGTGTATCGATCAATGATCAATTGATTGTAACGTCCATCCCTTTCCAATGGCTCGTGTTGCACGAGATCTTTGGTGCGGTTATGAGCACAATAAATACATGTTCTGGAGTTGTTCATCATGTCCGGCTCGTATTCATCATTGGCATCATAATCATACTCATCTTCCATAATCATGTTGTGGAGAATGATACACGTCATCATGATGGATCGAAGAGCCTCGACATCAAACAATTTGACAGCAGCCCTGACAATCGTCCAATGAGCTTGCAGGATACCAAAACAACGCTCCACATCCTTCCTACACCCTTCTTGACATCCTATGAAGTGTTTTTCATTTTGATTTTGTGGATGTGACATTGTTTTGACAAATGTTGTCCACCTTAGGTAAATGTCATCTTCTAGGTAGTACGCTCCTTCGTATTTATTTCCATTAACCCAATATGTAACTTTTTGTGTTGTTCCTTGCAGCACTTCGTCGAACACTGGAGATTAGGTAAGGACATTTAGGTCATTTTGAGCTCTTGGAGCACCAAAAAAAGCATGCCAAATCCATGTATCAAATGATGTCACCGCTTCCAAAATGATACTTTTGACTCATTTTCTGTCACATAAGCTCCTTGCCACGCACTTGGACAGTTTTTCTAGGTCTGGTACATACAGTCGATGCTTCCAATCATGCTAGGAAAGCCTCGCATCTGACCCTTCTTCAGAAGCCTTTGCATGTCCATTGTCGTGGGTTTCCGAAGGTATTCATTGCAGTACAGGGCTTCGATTGCGGAGCAAAACCTCATCAGGGACTCCATAATAG